AAGCGGTGAACCGGTACAGAACAAGGGTAGACGGAACATAGGCCAACCAATAGTAAGGGACAATGGAAGTCACAAGAGAACTCGTGTGGTTGAAGTCATACGAGTGATCGGTGTGCGTGTCTGCATGTTCACTTCGTGTCAGAGACTGGGAGAACTACACACTTGCTTGATTATGTAAGAAATCGATAACCAGAACGAAACGAATGCCAACGGGACAAATAGGAAGCGATAGAGTGGGCAATGAGTCGAAAGAACACAAAATGATTCTGAGAAGAATCAACAGTCATTGACATCACTACATCCACCACCTTGCAAAAGCAGTGCTCCAAGGTCTGTGGGAATTCACTACCTAAGAAGTCTCCCGAGGTTCAGACTTCTGAAGCACCAAAAATCTCCTGGTCTAAATGGGTTCCTTCCGGTCTTTCGAAAAGACAGTTGTTCAAGTCGTGATCGAGAACTTCCTTCTTCCAAACTATCTAGAATACCGAATCCATTCCATCGGTGTTTGGTACAAGTCGTACAATTGCTCGAATCACTGAGGGATTCTCATTTCCGTTGCATTCAAGTTGACCCCATCATTGGTACCTCGCAGACTCAGTTGGATGAAAGAACGCCACGGGTTGGATTTGGCTCCGGTCAGGGCTGTTTTGACCCTTTATTCATTTTACATCGAATTTTCGAGTACCACCAACCGTTCATTAGACCAGCAACTATATTTTCAGGCACACGCGCTGCGTTTGCCTCAACGGCTTTCTGCAATTGTCCATTAGGATGCGGTGCAACTACGTTGCATTCAACGCATAGATGCACACGGGCGTGCCTGGACCGGAGGGAGACTGTCTGCGCATAGGCTCATGAACTAGAGTTGAATTCAGGCTACTTCTCTTTGGCTCTGCTGCCAACATTCCAACCTTCCTTCTGTTCTTTTATATAAATGGACAGCCAACAGACAGCAACCCAAACCGGTGCATGACAATCCATGGTTAATGGTTGTAAAAAATGAATATAAGCCAATGGGATATTAGAGGAATCTTGAATGCGAGGCTTCTGACTACAACACACATCAATGGCTAGGGTCGCGAGCGTACAAGCTAAGGACGCCTGCTGTCCTATACGCGTTAGAGTACTTTACCTAGGGAATCCAGGATGATGAAGAGCTTCAGCTGGTGGAGTATTCCGGGAGCTAACACTACTCGGAGTTAAAACTATAAACTGACTCATGTTTCACCTCCAATTCAGATACAACAAAAGGAGGAGAAAAACGTGAAACAAAAAAGCCAATAGCCAATCAATATGTTCTTCTTATTGCCTGGTGATTGAAGCCAAAATGTACAGATAAAAATTCAACAAAAAGACAAGTTATTTCTCGCGAATATATTGTCTGTGTGGTCGAAAAATCTCCATATGCAATACGAATAACTATGCGGTGAGATTACGGTTTGGAGAGTGAAAATTTCTTCAATGATGAAGCAAGCCCAGAGATTGCCATATTTGAGTAAAAAAAAGCATTCCGTTTTTGCTGAAATCATGCTTCCGATTGTATCTCACATGTAAAAATCATCCCTTTTGGCGGCCAAATATATAACCCAGAATATGGTAGCGAACATGAATGTGTTACCCGTCATTGTCAGGGCACAAGCACCCCACTGGATCTAAAACATACGAAAATAGCGCCGCTTCAATCCCGAAGACTTACCGCCGGTGCAGCATAGGGAGCACGAGCCAACAGTACTGGTAACGCATAGGCAGAAAATATGAGGATTGTTGCAAAGAATGTGCAAAGGTCCTTAGCTGCTGGTTCGACCTCACATGTTGTGGCGATCATTATAGGAATTGGCGTGAGAAGATAAAAAATCAGCACAAACATGGGCCACCAAACTCTGCAATGTATTTTAGATTGGATCGTGAATTTGCCACTCACCCATATTGTGGCAGTGCGCAAGCTAGAAGCAGAAAAGTGAACGAACATGTGCCGGCGAGTGCAACCAGTACAACAGCTGAAATACAATTGTTGTCAGGACTGTAGTCAACATACTTCTGATGACGCTCATATTCAGATGCTCGAGAAGACGGCGGGAATATAAAACCAAATTACCGTTATTGATCAATTAGCGTTTGAAGAACACCTGGTAACATAAGAAAAAATTATGATAGAAATGCGGGCGAAAAATATGACAGAAACGTCCTTGGCCTCGGTTTTTATGTAACAGGTGCGTTAATGATGGTTCATACATCACTTTTAGCCTACCGAGGCCTTGTGTGATTCACCAATATTAAAAAGATTGTTGTAGTGGAAACAGTGGTTTACTTATGTGAAGCGATGCGAGCGGCCAACATGCATATTGACATTCTCGTCGCAAAAATAAATGATCGACTACCAAAGTGTAAGTGGAATGTTTAATTCACTTCAATCAGTGCCGCTGCAAATAGAACGGCACTGCTGCCAAAACATACCCACTAAGGACTTCGGTAACAGATAGGTCCACAATGACACCAGAAAATGGCGATTCCAATCTAACGTTTGAGGTTCTTGCATATTAAAGTGCTTGCGTTAGACGTAATACGTGACTACCCCAAGCTAAGGGACATCATTTTGATGGTAACAACGAGGACTGCAAATAGATAGGATTTGGTAAGAAGATAAAACACGACGATTAACAGACATTTGCCAACGTGTTAGTAGGCAAAAGAGTCCAAACAACGACCGATCAACAGAAAAATATAGGGCACTTAGTACAGGAACCTTATCAGTTTCCGTTTTAGTTTGAGAAACCATTACCCAGGTACTTATGTGTGGTGGTTTACAAATATTACATGTATATATATATATACATATATATATATTTTCGTGGGAAAACATTTCCGCACCGGGAAGACAGTTAGTAGGGCTGAGACTGTTTGCGGCGCTTGAACTTATAGGAGCGCTTCACGGAGTACAAGGGAAGGGTGACCAGCCACAGTCCAAGAAACTACTCCCGAACATACACAGGCATTCGGACTCGGATTTGGTTATTGGTATAAAGAGATCGTAACATTGAACTAAACTTCTCCAGCACACCCGTCAGGGACAGGCAGTGCCAGAGTTCAGAGCGCCTGTTAAGGCTTCAGTACGGTCGGGAGTGGGTGGCTCGGCTTTCTGCTGGTCACCCCTCCCTTGCAACTCACAAAAGGATCATCATAATTGTACAGCGAAATACAGTGTAGCGAACTTCACTGATTGATGCGAAACTCATATTGCAGACAAGGTAAGTGAGAATGTGTAAGAAGGATAGGGATTGGATCGCCATCGCTGTCGGTTCACAGCCATGAGCTTCAGTGTCTTCAGCCGTGCAATTTCGGAGTCTTTTGAACACCATCCCGGAAGACGAGAGACACCTACTCTACCTAATCGCTCTGTACATTTCCTCATGCCTTGTCACCAATTCAACTG